AAATCACTTTATGCCCTGGCTGGGTAGCTCAGTTGGTTGGAGCATCAGTCCAATGTGCCAAGGTTGCAGGTTCAATCCCTGGTCAGGGCACATACAAAAGTCAATCAATGAATGTATAAATAAGTGGAACAACAAATCGATGTTTCCATCTCTCTCTAAAATCAATAAATAAGAAAAATTTTAAAGGAAACCACTTATTAGTTTATCATGCATTATTCAGTTTCTTTATATATTTACAAGTGTACATATATACTCTTATTTCCCCCTATTTTCTCCTGCTAAAGGTAACATAACTACGTACTGCTATTAGCAACTTGCTTTTTTCCTGGAGATCTTTCCATCTAACAGTGTTTCCCTACAATACAGCCTTTCCATATAATACTTCCTCATTACTTTACATTGCCAGGGTTCTTTTGTATGCATATACTCTATTTAACTAAGTAATTAGGGTCTCCTTTATCGCTATCAATAATTTTATTATCACCCAGTGTTAGATGTTCTTATAGTTGATGTTGTTCATTTTTCTTATATTACCTGAAAAAATGATTATTTGCTTTTGGTATTAACATACCAAAGTCTGACTCATGATGATATTTTTTTATGATTATATAAAGTAAATGTATTGATTTTTTTTCATCAAGCCCTACATAGGCAGGACCACTATTCATAAAGAATATAGGATTAAAGTCCTAGAGGAGAACATTGGCAAGAAAATCTCAGATATTTCACGCACCAACTTTTTTACTGGTATGTCCCCCAGAGCAAGGAACATAAAGGAAAGAATAAACAAATGGGATCTCATCAAAATAAAAAGCTTTTGCATGGCTAAAGAAAACAGTATTAAAATAAAAAGAGATCCAACTATATGGGAAAACATATTTGCCAATGATACCTCAGACAAGGGTTTAATCTCCGAAATATACAAAGAACTTACACAAATCTAAGAAGACAAGCAACCCAATTAAAAAGTGGGCAAAGGACTTGAACAGACGTTTCTCCAAGGAGGACATACAGAAGATCCAGGGACACATGAAAAGATGCTCAATATCACTAAGCTATCAGAGAGATGCAAATTAAAACCACAATGAGATACCACTTTACACCAGTCAGAATGGCCATGATAAACAAAGCAACAAACAACAAGTGTTGGAGACGGTGTGGAGAAGAGGGGACCCTAATCCATTGTTGGTGGGATTGCAGACTGGTACAACCATTATGGAAAACAGTATGGAATTTTCTCAGAAAACTAAAAATGGACCTGCCTTTTGATCCATCAATTCCACTGCTGGGATTATATCCTAAGAACCTATGCACTCCAATGTTCATAGCAGCACAATTTACAATAGCCAAGAGTTGGAAGCAACCTAGGTGCCCATCAGTAAATGAATGGATTAAAAAAATTGTGGTACATATACACAATGGAATTCTATGCAGCAGAAAGAAAGAAGGAGCTCCTACCCTTTGCAACAGCATGGATGGAACTGGAAAGTATTATGCTGAGTGAAATAAGCCAGGGGTTGAAAGACAAATACCATATGATCTCACCCTTAACAGGAAGCTAAACAACAAAACAAACAAGCAAGCAAAATAAAAACAAAGACACTGAAGTAGAGAACAAGGGGACAGTGACCAGAGGGGAGAGGGGATGGAACTTCAGGGAAAAAGGGGGATAGTATAAAGGACACATGGACAACAACTAAGGGGGGTGGAAATGGAAGGGAGGTGGGGAGCACTGGGGGGGTGGGCTGGGATGGGAGTAAAAGACAGAAAACTGTACTTGAACAATAATTAAATAAATTTTTTTAAAAATCAAACAGCAGTCCTTTTTACATACTTGTCTTGCTTTTGGGAGCTCAGAGCTAAATTTTAGGCTCATTCATATGAACTAGATTTTCTTACAGATTTGTTTCCTATTTTGTATGATTTCTAATTATATTTTTTATTATAAATTCTTTGTTTTATACCTTTGTTAACAAAACACACTGTAAATGAATGGAATATACTTTTTAAAAAGCTGAAAAAAATAAAGAATACAGGACTAGTGGGGTTATCTGATTCCCATCCAGTCTACCCAGTGTGCCACCCACAGTGCCAGGCACTGTTCTAAGTATCTTACCTATTTTAACTCATTAAATCCTCAGAACACTATTAGGCAGATACTCTTATGCTATTACGTAAGTACTATCATTATCCCATTTTTCAAGTAGAGACTGAGGTTAGGTAACTTGAACAAGACCACATAACTAGTAAGTGGAAGACCTAAGATTTAAACTCAGTCTGGCTCCAGAGTCTGTGCTCGTAGCCATCGGTTCAATTTATGGTACCAAAAGAAAAATGGTACAATGTGTTATGGTTCCAGGCAGTGTGATAATAGTATTTACTGCTCTTCACCTCAGATCAAGTCACTTAACCTTGCTGAGCCTCAGTTTCTCATCTGTAAAATGAGAATGAGGGGTAAAGGGAGAATTACCTCACAAGAAATTGTGAAGACAACAATGATACTATATATAGAATACAGACAGAGTGACCTGGTACATTCTGGGCAATTTTTTAAAGTTGCCATGAAATACTATGAATATCCATTAAAGCTTAGAATTGGGAGGGGGTGGTACAAGAAACTCACTGTGTCTAAGTTTCATCATGATGACCAGCTTAAAAGGATATAGGTTCAAATCTGCAGGCTTTCTTCCTGTGAGAATGGAAGAAGACCAATTTAAAGACAGGAGTGGGAAACTACAATGCCACAATCCTCTAAACCCCCAAAAGGCAAAATAAAATGTTAAATAACATGATAAGGAAGCCCTAACAATTACAGAGACTGAGAGAGGCGACTACACTGAAGCTGGGGTACACAGGAAGGCAGTGTCACACCACCCAAAGGGAGGCTAGGTCCAAACCTCTCTTCCTGGGTGGAGTCAATGCCACAATGCATCATCATAGGGGGCCATTGGTCCTCAATTCTCCACCCTGTAGGTTAGAGAATAGCACTGAACTTCTCTATGCTGTGGGGAGTATGCAAGGACAATCTATTTCTACATCAGGTATTAACCTAATGTAGAAATAGATTGTAAGCCCCTACCTTTTCCTAAGTAGGAGCTTGTGTCTCATCTACCCTAAAAGGGGGTAAAGACAAATCCCAGGAAAAGGGACCTCAGAACAAGGTGTATTTATCTGTGTCTATGTGGACTGAGAGCAATGCAAAATCTTGGGGGAGGGGAGAAAATCTGTGCTTGTGTGTAGGTCTGTTCCTGGTGACTGGGAAGGACAGAATGCCTTCTGTCCCTCTACTCTGAAGTGCAGAGGAACTGGGGAAACTGGTACAGTGGTTGTATGCATCTTTGCTGCATAGGGGAGAAGGGTGGGTCTGTCCTTCCCTAAGTTATACAGATGATGGTCCTAGGACTCTTTACCCTGAGGTGGTCTGTGAGGTGGAACTGATATGCCTGTCTTTACTACAAGGTAACATTAGTACCACACTAACAAAGGGGAGAATTACAGTTTTGCATGATTAAGGCCTGCACCTTGCCTGCTGTGGGCTATTCTAGACCCTTCCATGGGAGGTGGGATGGGGAAGGTCTATTTATCTTTAATATGGGTTGAAGTCAGCACTGTAGAACACTGAAGGGAATAAGACCTCTGCCTTGCTGCACTGGGGGGTAAGGGTGGAGTAACCCAGCTATAAATTCAATGGATTGGTTCTTACACTTGCAGGGTAAGGTGGAAGGGTCCTGTGTTTTTACCCTGGATGTTGAGAAAGAGAACTAAGCTCCCCTACCTTGAGTAAATGGGGAGCCCATATGCACAAACTGTGAGTGATCACTGATGTCACTGCCTCTCAACACTGAGGAGAGGGAGAGCTCTCTTTTCCCTTGCAGTCTCCTCTTTGCTACAACTGATTATTCTAAATCCTTGCCGAGGGGATGATCTCTGTCTACCTCGTAACAGGAGAACAAATCTAAACCCCTCTATCCTGGGAGTCACACAAGGCAGATCTGACAGCCTCTTTGTGGGTCTATTGCATTTTGGTGTGGGGCATTTTGGGGGATGAGCCCTTACAAATTCAGTAAACCAGCACCTCCTTAAGGAGTGGTTTGATTTTCCACATGGGTACTCACTCTTAGACTAGGAGGAGGAGTAAATCTCTACGGTTTGGGGTAGGCCGAGGCTTGTGCCTCCAATCACTTGGGGAGGTGGGGGCTTTTGTCTATTAGTTACACCTGAATGAGGCTAAGAGGTGTCTAGGTCTTCACACGAAGGGAAGGATGTTCCTTTTCCTCCCTCTGTATATTAAATTACTGAGCTCCACTATATTGGTGATCGGCTAAGGGTAGGTGCAGAGGGAGATACATCAAAGCCTCTTGTCTTAAGCTAAGAGAAGAGGTGCGTCAAGGTAGATCTGTGTACGCCTTAGCGCCCGGAGAGGTCTGCACCTGTCAGCCTCCTGCAGAAGAGACACCAGTGGGGTCGACATCGCCACACCTTCCGACAGGGCCGGGGGGAGGGGGGGCGGTCTACACCCAGAGAGTGCGTAATGGAGCCTCACTATCATGAAGGGGGGTCACTCGACGCTTCTCCACACAAGCAGGGATCTAAGGCTCTACATTGTGTACCGGGTCTACAGCAGTCTAAATGGGCTGGGGCCATGCCCCTCTACCCCAAAAGAGTGCATCGGGGCGCATGTCCACGTGCGCAACGATCCCTGCCCTTCACCTGGGCCCTTTACCCTGGAAGGGAGCTGGCTCTTTACCTCTCTATTCCTGGATGGAGTGCACCTCTTCTTTCACCTTGAATAGACGACCCTCCTCGCGCGGCCGGCTGGCTCTGTGCTCACCGCTAAAAGAGTCATCTCTTACCTCCACTTCCGGCGGGGATCTGAGAAAAGAAAACAGCGACACAACACTCTTGGCCCGGAAAGTAAGGCTCAAGCCGCCGGGTTCCGACTTCCGGATCCCAGCCTCCCAGGGGCAGCTCCGCCAGCCTTGCGCCATTGGAGGTGGAGCTTCGGATTGACAGCTCGAGCCCGCCTGTCCTTTCCCCGCAGTCACGATGACATGACCCCGCCTTCCTAGCTGGCCCGTAAGGTAGGAAACAGTCGAGGAGGGAGGAGAGAGGTGGGGATGGGAGGAGGCTTAACGGCGTTTTGACTGGTGTGGTCCTATAACCTATTATAAACCAAAACCTTCTCTGCTGTCCTCTACTTAGGCCTTAATACGCTTGTTCCGACCTTTTTTTTTTTTTTTTTTTAACACCAGGAGACGACCGTGACTGCAACAGACAAGAATGGGGATCAGTGCCTTTGTCTATATTGGAAGATGGCGACGGGCAGGGTGTGAGAAAATGGCCGCCTGAGTCACATGTCTTGCCGAGTATCCCTCACCTGAAGTGAGTTGATTAGCTGTTCCCAGCAACCATCCTGGCTTCCAGAACCCCAGACAAACCAGTAGGCAGTCACTTCCCTGCTCATTCTGCAGTATCTAAGATTCTGGCCAGGCCCAGGAGCTGAACACCTGGAAGCCTCTCCCACCCGTTTGCCCTCTTCCCCCTCCTCCTCACTCCATCTCTTAGGACCCGGAGGAGTGCCTTCAGAAGGGAATAAATTTTGTATCTCCGCAAGTAAGGGTTTCTTCCAACTATCTGAAGAAGTTCTTGACCTGGATGTAGAATGAGGTCTCCCCCTAAAAACCATAAATATAAGGTTGAAAATGTATTTCTGACTATTTAATTCCAGCTCCTCCTTTTCCTCTAGCCTAAACTTTGGGGTGGGGCCGAGCCCCTCTAACACCAAGGTTTGTCCCCTCGCCTCCACCAAATCCAGGCGGAAAATGACACCCTCTGCCTAGTTATACGCCTTGCCTTACGTACACAGGACTCACTGCCCCAACATCGATGGAAGGCTTCTAATCTTTCACCATAGACAACACACAAAACTCCTGTGGACCCCAAACCAGCCCTGGTCACCTTCACTTTTACCCCGGGGGTTAGCAAACCTTCTGTTTCTTTAATACCTAACCCTTGTCACTACTAAGAATTTTCACAATGGATTTAGAAACCCAAGACACTTTGTTGCACTTAATCACTTAATACTGGAAACATTTACATAGCTGAATCTCTACAGGAGAGTGAAATCCTTAAGACCAAGGGCTATATATCTTGGAACCCTCAACAAGACCCAGCACAAAACTGGTATGAGGCAGACTTAAGCAAATGTTTGTTAAATGGGTGAAATTATAGGCCTACCCCACAAACCAATAAGAAGATGGATATTTTGGTGAATACCATTGGGAAATTTGGCTCACCATAAGGAAAAAAATAAAACTGGATCCCTACTTATTTTCATATAGGAGGGTTGAGAATATTTTTGTAACCTAGGACAGGTATGTATTTTTAAACAAAGTTTCAAACACGCAAACTATAAGGAAAAACTTGTGATGAAATTTTTCGTGGAAGTGAAAATTGGTTTTATTACTTTGGAAAACAGTTAGAAAGTATCCAGAATAGTTGAAGGTAGCCCTAGAACCCAGCAGTTCTACTGTCATAGATGTATATATGTGTGTATGTGTGTATATCCATCCCCTAAACTTTTAAGTCCTAGAGATATACATATGTGCAAAGAGGCATGTGCAAGAATATTCATTGCAGAACTGTTTGTAATAGAGAAAAAATTTTGAACAATCTAAAAGTTCACCAACGAGAGAATTGATAAATAAATAGTGGTATAGCCCCAACGGAATAATATGCAGCAGTGAAAAATGAGACAGTTGCATGTATCAATACAGATAAATTTTAAAATCAATGCTGAGATAAAATACAAGTTCTAAAAGGATACATAAAGTTTTTAAAATATTTTATTTATTTATTTATTTATTTTTAGAGAGGGGAAGAGAAGGAGAAAGAGGAAGAGAAACATCAACATGTGGTTGCCTCTCATGTGTCCTCTACTGAGGGCCTGACCTGGCCCGCGACCCCAGCATGTTCCCCAACTGGGAATTGAACCTGTGACCATTTGGTTCACAGGTCAGCACTGAATCCACTGAGCAACACCAGCCAGGGCTTCTGTGTTTTCACATATTTGATGAATAGCTATTACTTTAGGGAGGTTTTTTCTATTCTTTAAATTCTGTTTCAACTCTTACTTCCCATTTTTATTTCCCTCATGTTTTTACACAAACGGTGAGATACTAAACATACTGTTATACATGTTGCTTTTTTCACTTAATAATACTTCTTGGAGATCTTTTCATATCAGAGCATTAGAGAGCTGCCAGTACATATAGAAAGTCATTGTATGAAAGCGGGTGGAGTACTTCCTCAAAATGTTATATTATGTGGATGTACAATATTTTATTTAATCACTGCAGTCCCCTGTTGATGACTGCTTGGGTGCATTAGACATTTCATACACACATATTTCTGTAGGGTACCTTTGGCGGATATTGCCAAAAATTTCCTAACGTTGGCGTACCATTTTGCACTCACCATCCATGGATGAGGTTATTTGTTTCACCAAAGCCTCACCAACGAAGTGTATTCTTAAAGACTTCTTCTATTTTTCTGTCAGGTTGTTGGCCTTTCTTTGATTTCTAGAATCTTGTTATATAATTACAATGCTTACTACCAGCAATATGAATGTTAAACTGTGAATGATATCCCTTCTCAGTATTTTCTCCCAGTTTGTCATTCTTTTTCTTTGCTAATGAATTTTTCCAAGCAAATTATATTTTTATATAAAAAACTATCTGTGTTTTCTTTTATGAATTCTAGATTTTGAGGAGATAGTTTTGCAATGCATTGCATTAATGACCCCAATTTGTCATGTGTTTCTGTATCCACACCCTTTGGTATTTCTCTCCCATGCTAACTCTGAGTTTGACCATATAACTTGCTTTAACAAACAAGATAATATCAAACTTGATATACTTGAAAAAGCTCTTGCATATTCTGCTTCCTCTCTTGGAACCCTGCTACTGCTATGAGAACATATGCAGGCTAGCCTGCTGGAGGGATGTGAGACACACGTATGAATGAGCCTGGTCCTTCCAGCCAAGGCATCTTATAGCAGCCAGTCTCCAGCCAAGCCACCAGCTCAGGATATAGCCCACTTGAGATCAGCAGAGCCAGATCCATATTGTAGAACCTCCCAAGTGGCCCATGGACTTGTAAGTTTTGGTACATAAATGTTCATTTTGGTTTTTTATACAGCATATTGTGGCAATAGTCTTCCATCACTGTTCTTCCTTTTCAGAGATATCCTGGCTGTGCTTGCTTGTTATTTTTCCACTCAAAATTGAATTCAGCTTGTCTAGTTTCAAGAGAAAATTATATTTTAAAGACCTTATATTAAACATGAATTATTTTGATATCTTCATAACTTTGAGTCTTCCTATTGAAGAATGTGGGATGCCTATCCATTTGTTCCTCCCAAGTTTTATAAAAGTTTTCTCATAAAGATTTTGGACATTTCGCCCTGGCTGATGTGGCTCAGTGGATTGAGTGCTGGCCTGCAAACCGAAGGGTCACTGGTTCAATTCCCAGTCAGGGCACATGTCTGGGTTGCAGGCCAGGTCCCCAATAGGGGACAGTCAAGAGGCAACCATATATTGATGTTTCTGTCCCTCTCTGTCTCCCTCCATTCCCCTCTCTAAAAATAAATAAATAAAATCTTTTTAGAAAGATTTTGGAGATTTCTTTTCAAGATTTTTCTAAGTATTTGCTATACACTGAATGTTTGTAAAGTCCCAAAATTTATATTTTGAAACCTAATCCCCAATGTGATGGTAATAAGAGGTGGGACCTTTGTAAGATTATTAGGTCATGAGGGTGGGGCCCTCATGAATGGGATTAGTACCCTTAGAAAAGATGCCCCTGAGAGCTCTCTTGCCCTTCCACCATGTGAGGATACAGCTAGAAGAAGGCAGTCTGTGAATCACGCACGAAACAGACCCTCAGCAGACATTGATTCTGCCTATGCCTTGATCTTGGACTTCCCACCCTCTAAAACTCTGAGAAATATCTGTTGTTTATAAAGCACTGTCTGTGGTTCTCTGTTACAGCAGCCCCAGTGGACTAAGATAGTATTTTATCTTATTTGTTACTCTAATAAATGAAGCTTTCTCTTCCATGAGTTCTATATATTAATTTTATAGCGTTCTACCTTACTGAATTATCTTGTTCATAGTAATTCTTCAATTGGTTTCCTTGGGTTTTCTGGCTATACAATCTTATCTATTAAAAATGATAGCTTTGCCTCCTTCATTCCAATGGTATACTTCTAATTTCTTTGTCTTTTCTAGTTACATGTCTTTTCTAGTCTGATTTTAGTATATGAACGCTGCTAGTGTTTCCTGGTTAAGTGAAATGATGGATAGTTGGATTTGGGGACACATAAAAACATGCATGCACAGATGTAATTATATCAAGGGAAAAACCATATGTTCCTCTTTTATTGGATGTTTCAAAGGTTTATTTACTTATTTAATTTCTAGAGAGAGGGGAAGGGAGGGAGAAAGAGAAGGACCGAAACATAGATTAGCTGCCTCTTGTATGCATCCAGACCAGCACAAAAACTGCAATTCAGGCATGTGCCCTGACCAGAAATCAAACTGGCAACTTTCCGCCCTGTAGTTCAATGCCCAACCAACTGACCCACACCAGTCAGGGTAATTGCACATTTTTAAGTAAAGAATGGCTGTTGAATTTTGTCAAATGATTCTTTTGCATCTCTCAAAATAAGATTTTTTTCTTCTTAAATTTAAAATGTTAGACATTATTAATGAATTTCCTAATATTGAATGATTCTTTTGGGGGGATTTACTTATTTATTTTTCAATTACACTTGACATTAACTTTTATTTTTTATCAGTTTCTTTTTTATTTTATTTATTTATATTTACAGAGAGGGGAAGAGGGAGGGAGATAGAGAGGAAGAGAAACATCAGTGTGTGGTTGCCTCTCATGTGGCCCACACTGGGGATCTGGCCTGCAACCGAGGCATGTGCCCTGACTGGGAATTGAACTGGCAACCCTTTGGTTTCCAGGCCAGCACTCAATCCACTGAGCCACAGCAGCCAGGGTGATATATTAGTTTCAATATGGAATGCTTCTTGCATTCTTAGAATTAACCCCACACAGTCATGGATTTTGTTTGCTAATATTTTATGGAGGATTTTGTATTAATACTTTTAAGTGAAGATTGCTTTATCATTTTCTTCTTCTTGTGGAATATTTGTCAGATTTTGATAGCAATGTTATACTCATTTTATAAAAAAAGAATTTGAAAGTGTTCCTTCTTTATCTAGGCTTAGGAAAATAAAAATAGCATTCAGATTATCTACTTTTTCAGCATTAATAGACCTCTCCTGTAAGAGCATCATGGTCTGGTACTTTGGGGGGAAGGTAACTCTTTAGAACTATCTCTATTTCTTTCTTGGAAATCAGTTGATATGAGCTTCTCTCTTTTAGAATCACTTTTGGCCCTGGCCAGGTTGCCCAGTTGGTTAGAGCATCATCTGGATACACTAAGGTTGTGGGTTTGATCCCCTTCCCAGGCAAGGCACATACAAGAATCAACCAGTGAGTGCATAAATAAGTGCAACAACACAATGTTCTCTCTTGCCCTCTTTCTCTCTCCCTCCCTCCCTCTCTAAAATCAATAAACATAACCTTGTTTGAGGACTTTTTAAATAAATAAAGTTTTTTGAAAAGAGTTGGTTTTGGTGTATTTTCCTAGGATGTTTTCCATTTCTTCTAGGTCTTTAAAACAATTTGTATAGAGTCGTATGAGGAAGTCTTTTATGCTGTTTAAAATGTCCTATCCCTTCTTGGCCTTTTGGGTAAGATCAAGTGTAGTATCTGTTCTTATCGCTTTAAAATGTCCTCATACTATGGCTATGTCCAGCTTTTCATTTCCAAATTTGTGTAGTTGTGCTTTTTCCTTTTATTGATTATGGTATTTAATGGCTTATATATTTCTTTTTCACAGAATTGGCTCATCTATTAGTTCTGCTGTTATGTTTTCTAACTCCTTTATTTGATCTTTTCTCTTTGTTAATTCTTTCCTTCTATTCCCCTTAAATTTATTTTGGTTTTTTTTTCTAACTTTTTGAGTCAGATGCTTGCTTTTTCTTTTTCCTTCATTTTTAATGTAAGTATTTTAAGGCTGTGGACTTTCCTCTGACCACTACTGTATCCACAGATTCTGATATGTAGTGTCTAGAAATTATTATTAATTATCATTATTAATTATCATTATCATTATTGTCTATAAATTCAGCAACTTTGGTTTGAGTTTCCCTTTTGACCCAAGAGTTGTTTGATAGAGTTTTGAACATATTCAGATGAAAGATCCATTTTACATTGATTTCTAGTTTTATCCACTTGTCATCAGAAAACATTGTATTAGTTCCACTTTTGAAATTTACTGAGATTTACTTCTTAATATTGATTTTGTTGTTTGGGTTTTCTACATTCTCATTGGTTTGTTCTTCTTGTTGTTGATTAGACCTGTTCTGGAATGAGAAAGATGAGTTAAATTTTTCCTGTTTTTAGTGTATTTCCATCCATTTTCTATTTCTTTTCGTACTTTTTAACATTTCAGATTTGTAAGACTGATGTTATTTGGTACAAAAAAGGTATAACTCTATATTCTCATTGTGGATCGTGGCCTTTTTGCCTCGATTAATGCTTTTTTAATAATCTTTTTATTTTGAAATAATTTTAGATTTACAGAACAGTTGCAAAGATACCCGTCACCTAGTTGCCCATCATGTAAATATGTAACTTCATTTTCAAAACTAAGAGATTAGGTCCTGGCTGGTGTGGCCCAGTGGATTGAGTGCCAGCCTGTGAACCAAAGGGTCACTGGTTCAATTTCCAGCCAGGGCACATGCCTGGGTTACCGGCTAGGTCCCCAGCAGTGTGTGTGTGAGAGGCAACCACACATTGATGTTTCCCCTCTTTCTCGCTTCTTTCCTCTCTCTGTAAAAATAAAGAAGTAAAATATATTTTTAAAAAACCAAACATATTAACATTGGTACATTGCTATTAACTAAACACCAGACTTTATTCAGATTTTTGCCTTCTTTTTTCTGTTTCAAGATCCAACCTAGGATCCCACACTGCATTTAGTCATCACATCTACTCCCATCTGTGACTGTTCCTCAGTCTTTCCTTGTTTATAAGGACCTTGACAGTTAACTGATGCCTTTCATTCTGAGGTTTCAACTCGTCTGATCATTAAGACTGCAACCCCTGCTTTATTTATTGGCATTTGACTAGTGTACCTTTGCCCTTCTTTATATTTTTAACATTTCTGAATAGATTTGTTTTAGTTGACTCTCTTGAATACAGCAGTTGGGTTTTGCTCAGTGATCCAATGGAAAATGTTTTTCTTTAGCTATTTATACTTACTAATACAAAAGATGTTTTGCTGTTAATATAGTCATACTATTTTAAGTATTATTCTTTTTTAGTTATATCTTTACATATTAAAGGCATTTTACCATGCATTCTGTTCTGTTTGTTTTTAGTTACCCTAGCATTTCTAAAGAAAAGTTTTTATTTTGGTCTCATGATTAATTTTAGGTAACTTATTTTTTATTCCTTTTTTTTTCTAGTTGTTTATTGCTAAGGTAAAAAAATATGGTTGACGCACTGGCCAGGTTGCTCACTTGGTTAGAACAAGTGATACACCAAGGTTGCAGGTTCAGTCCCCAGTCAGAGCACATACATACAAGTATCAACCAATGAGTGCATAAATAAGTGGAGCAACAATTCAATCTCTCTCTATCACTCTCAATAAAATTTTTTAAAAAGAGGAAATGCTGTTGATTCTTATAAGTTGATTTTGTACCTGGCAACCTTGCTGAACTCTTTCATTCTAATAGTCTCTGTTGAATCTGTTGGTTTTTCCCCTTATCTTCTAATCCTTACACCTCTCATTTCTTTTTCCCTCCTTATAGTATTGACCAAGACTTTCACTTTTATGTTTAACAGTGGTCGGTAAGAGTAAAAATCTAGTTTCATTCTCAGTCTTCATGGAAATATTCTTAAGTTTTCTTATTTAGTATAAAATACACTGTAAAGTTTGACTATGTAAACTTCACCAAATTAAGAAATTTGCCCTCTATTCCTAGTTCACTAAGAGCTTTTATCATAAGTAGGCATATAATGTACTTTTCCTACATTAATTGAAGTAATCATATGATTATTCTCCTTTAGTCTATTAAGGTAAATTACATCAATAGATTCTTCTGAGGCTGAACAAATTATCCTTGCATTCTTGGAATAAACTTCATTTGATCGTGATATATTTTTAACATACTATTAGATTTGATTAGCTAATATTTCATTTGAGATTTCTGTGTCTATATTAGGAAGTGAAATAAGCTTATAATTTCCTTTTATTGTCCTCATCTGATTTTACAGTCAAGATTTCAAGATTATACTAGATGAATGAGCTGGACAGCTTTCCCTCCTTTTCCATTTTCTGCAATAACTTATATAAGAAGAAAAGTAACTGTTCCTTGAGAGTCTGGCAAAATACACCCGTAAACCCATCTGGGCCTAGATTTGGGGAAAAACAAGGTCCTTGCCTACTATTTCAATTTCATTAATATTTAGTATTCTGTTCAAGTTCTCTACTTCTTCCTATACCATTTAAAAAAATTTTAAATACTTATTTTTAGAGAGGAGGGAAGGGAAGGAGAAAGACAGGGAAGAAACATCTACGTAAGAGAGAAACATATATCAGTTGCCTCTCACACTCCCCCAACCAGGGACCTGGCCTGTAACTCAGGCATGTGCTTTGCAGGGCAACACTCAACCAACTGAGCCATACCAGCCAGGGCCTTCCTATACCATTTTTGTCATTTTATATTTTTGAGGGGAAAAATACACCTGGGTTTACAATTATTTCAGTCTAGTTCCTAACAGTCAAGTTTCTAGCTTGAGTACCTGGTGGTGCCTTCACAGAGAGAGGGTGCCAAAGGACGGCATGTCTGTCATTTTGGAGCCAGAGGGAGATTGACTGCTTTTGCACTCCCAGCAAAGAATGGCTATCAGTGATTCTGTGTTCCTTTGGATATTTGTGATTGTATATGAATGTTCACACTTCTATAAATTCTATAAATGTGTGTTTAT